CTCCCTTGCATCTTCCTCCCGGGCCTTTCTCTCACCGATCGCTCCCCCCCCCCCCTCTCGGGGCGCCCCTTCGCCTGGCGAACAGATGACAGCATCGCCGCCAGCAAGCCCTTCTTCGTGCTGGTGTCCTACCTGCAGCCGCACATCCCGGTGTTTGCCAACTCCCGGTTCAAGGGGTCCAGCCGGCGCGGGGCCTTCGGCGACATGATGCACGAGATGGACGACTCCATCGGCCGGGTGATGGCCGCCCTGGAGGAGCGTGGCCTGACCGGTGACACGCTTGTGGTTTTCACCTCGGACAATGGCGCCTGGCCGGATGCCCGCGAGCCGCTGGTCGATGAGGACCTCTCGGATGACCAGCCGCATGGCGGGTCCAACGGTCCCTTCCAGCAGGGCAAGGGCTCCACCTGGGAGGGCGGTGTCCGTGAGCCGACCATCATTTCCTGGCCCAACGGCTCCATCAAGTCCGGGGCCACCAGCATGGAGATTGCCTCGCACATGGACGTCCTGCCGACCGTCCTGGAGGCGGCCGGTGTGTCGGTCCCCACCGACCGGACCATCGATGGTCGGAGCCTGCTGCCGCACATGCGTGGTCTCACTTCCTCCGGGCCGCATGATGCCTACTTCTATTGGCGCGAGCGCGAGGTCTATGCCGTCCGTCTGGGCCGCTACAAGGCGCACTTCGTCACCCGGCCCGGGTTCGGCAACGACCGGCCGGTGCGTCACAACCCGCCGCTTCTCTTTGACCTGGAGGCCGACATGGGCGAGCAGTATCCCCTGGACTCGGCCGGCCGCTATGCCGATCTGATTGCCGACATGCGTCGTCGCGTGGCCGAGCACCGGACCACCATCGAGGCGGTTGAGCCGCAGTACGAGTTCGGCGGGACCATCCTGCCCGGCGTGGACTTCTCCGTGGTGCCCTGCTGCAACCCGATGGCCCTGCAGGAGTTCACCATCGAGCAGCTGGTCAACGACCACTGGGAGCAGTGCCGTTGTGACTATCTTTCGGGCCAGGCCCCGGCGTCGCCGGAGGAGGGCACCACCGGCGAGTCGGCCACCGAGGCCGAGCGCTCGGTTCGTCGCACGGCCCAGGAGCTCCTGGCCGCCGACCTGACCCGTGGTGGGCACTCGTCCACGGCCGCTGTCATGGCTGAGCTTCTGCTCAAGCAGATGTCCGGCCCGCGCCACACTTGAAGCTTGTGTGGCTTTTTCTTTCCCTTCCCCGGGCGCCACCCCCTTTGTGTCGTCCTCTCCCTTGTGTCCTCCTCGCCCCGCCGGCGGCCCTCTCCCTCCCTCCCTCTCGGTCTCCCTCTCCCTTTCTCTCCTGCGCCTGTGGTGTGTGTGTGTGTGTGTGTGTGTGTGTGTGGCTGCCCGATCCCGTGTCACTTGCCCCGGTTGTGTGGTGTCCATTCGCCCGGCATTTTGTTTGGGACACCGGCCATTGTGCGCATTTGAGAGGAAAAAAAAAGGGACCCCGGGTGTGGGTGGTGCGGCGAGCAGCCAGCTGTGCACAAACAAACACACACACTCACACACGCACACACATCTTGAGAGTTTCTCTTCGTCCTTTTTTATTTCTCCCTCCCAGGGCATCACCGTGCCCAGGCACGCGCGCACTCGCGCGCGCGTGCCATCTTGTCATCGATCCCCCTTCCTCCCTGCGCGCTCTCCCCCTTGATATATGGACACATGTTTGTGTGTTTACATACACCATGTTGCCGTGAGGCACAAATATATTCACTCTCCCATGCGCATGCGCTCCTTGCGTGTGTGGGGCTCTCTTCTCTGTTGTGTACTCTCTGTTATCCGCCCTATGATGATGATGATGATGATGATGATGATGATGATGTCGATGATCATGATGATCATGATGCCGGAGAGGGGGCAGTGGTGTTTTCCGTTTCGGCTGGGTATGGACATGCGCGTGCATGTGCCTGGATTTCCTGGCGAATGAGTTGTTCGCCCGCTTGGTGTCTCGTGTGAGCTGTTTTTTCCTCCGCCTCCTCTCTACCCCCCTCTGCCGCTGGTCGAAAGACCCCCCCCCCCCCTCCCTCCGGAGGCACTCTCAGCCTGCCCACACTTACAAGTCACGTCTGGGAATTTATTTTCCTTGGCGAGGGGAAAAAAGAGGGGCGGGGTGCGGCGCGGTGGGGCGGAGTGGGGGTGAGGAAGTCGAGACGACCTCCACACCGCGAGATGCAGTTGGGTTGGTGCAGGGTGTCACCACCCAAACATCGGCCACTCCCCCCTCTCTCTCTCTCTTTCTCCTCTCTTTCACGTCACTCTTCCCCCCCCCTGAGCGCACCCCCACACAGTCCAGATGGAGTGTGTGTGTGTGTGTGGCTTGCGCGGTCCACATGGCGGCACACACGCACACATACATGCGGGTATGTACACACGCAAGCCCGACCGCGCACGCGGCGGATACACAGGTGGCCAGAGGCGGGAGAGAGAGAGAGAGAGAGCGACAGGCGGGATTTGCATGGCGAGGCGTCCCAGCGCGGCGCCGGCACAAACTGCGGCCAAGGCCGCGGGGAGGGGCCCCAAATGGCGCATAGCCTCTCGCGGCATCGGCGTGTGATCGTGTACAGCCTCGCTTCCTCTCCTTCTCTTTCTCTCACGTCTGCGGGGGAGTCTCATGTCTCTCTGCCCTTAGCCCCCCGGCTCCCCCCCCCCTGCCTCGGTGTCGGGGTGAAAATGGGCTGCCCCATGGGCTCTGCCCTTCAGTGACATTCGCATCTTTCGGTGATGGGGCGAGGGCCCCTTAGAAGGCCCAGTCCGGAGTGGCGCGAGCAATGGACGCCAGCATGAACATGACCGCCGGTCCCACCACACAGGCCATGGTGCCGGCTGTGGCCATGAAGGACCGCTCCGGATGGACAATGGCATCCAGCGACCGTGCCAGCGGCTGATGGTGGACGCCGGCCGTCGGGATGGCCTTGCCGTCGCCGAGGCCAAGCTGATTGCGCAGGCGCCCGGCCTCGCGCTGGGCCAGGTCCCGGGCCATCTGCGTGCCGGCGGCCGCGGTCTTCAGCGGGTGGGCAATGAAGTCGAATGCGCGGTTGAGGAGCGGCGACCCGGGGGGGCTCATGGCCCGGCGCACGGCATCCATCCCGCGGCGGAGGTCGCGAATCGGATGGAAGCCCCCCTCCTCCTCGGTCCCGGCGCCGGCGGCGGCGGCGGCGGCGGCGGCGGCGGACGTGCTGCCATACCGGCTGCCACTGCTGGCGAGGTATGCCGCCCCGGCGGGGCTGAGGTTCGTGGTGACCGAGGTGTAGGGCATGCCCGACTCCAGGACCACCAGCTCGTCGAGGGCCATCTGGTCCTCGGGGAGGATGTGCGAGCGGGCGTGCCGGGCGCCGCCGCCGCCGTGGGACGCACGCTCCGAGGCCTCGTACGCGGCGCGAAGCCGGGGCGACGTGCTGGCCGGGACGAAGGTCGTGCGCGAGGAGTAGGACACCTTGTCAAACTCCGACATCTCGTTGTGCCCCTCGGGGATGCTGACATGCAGGCGGGAGCGCATGTCGGCCGACATGCGCCGGCCGGCCCCGGCCCCGGCCCCGGCCCCGGCCACCGAATCGGCCATGCGCCGGTGCTGGGTGTGGAATTGCTGGTGGTAGTCGTCCGACCAGTCGGCCGCGGCGGCTTGCTTGTAATGCTGCTGCTGCTGCTGCTGCTGGTGGTGGTGGTGACGCTCGTGGTGCTGGGCGCGGTGGCTGGCCGGGCCGTGGCGGGCAGCGGCATCGGCCGCGCTGAGCACCCCCGGGGCCGAGGCCATGTCGGACCAGTCGCTAAAGGCATGCTCCAGGCGGAAGGCCGGGTTCAGGGCATACTGCAGGAACTCCCGGCCCCAGAAGTCGCTGGGGATGGTGCCGCCGGCCGGGCGCATCTTCAAGGAGAAGCGCTGGCCCGGACCCATGGCCGCCGCGCCGGCCCGGTGGTACTGCTTGCCGGGGGCCAGCATGTCGCGCTGGCGCCGAGCGAAGCCCTCGGAACGCGCGCGCCCGGCGGCCGCCGCCTCGCGCGCCACCCGGCGATGAAGCTGCCCCATGGCCGACAGCATGTTGTGCCCGGCCCCGGCATGGGCGCTGTGCGTGTGAATGGGCATGCCGGTGGTGGTGGCGGTGGCGGTGGTGGCGGCGGAGGCGGCGGCGGCGGAGCTCGAGGACACCCGCGAGGAGCCCTTGCTGGCGGCATGGGCACCGATGTGGCGCTGGTGCAGCAGATCCGCCATGTCCCCGAGCCGGTGCGCCGTCCGGGGGCTGAGCTTCCCATGGTGGGCGCTCTCGTGCAGGGCCTCGCGCCAGGCATCCGGCGTGCCGAGGATGCTGTAGGCCCCCTGCAGGGTGGCCAGCTGCTCCTCATTCAGCGGGGCATAGTCCGCCGCCCCGTCGGCCATGTGGGTCTGCTGGTCGAAGTGGTGGTGGCCGGAGGCGCTGGTGCTGGCGCTGTGGTGGCTGTGGCTGTGGCTGTGGCTGTGGCTGTGGTGGCCGTGGGCATGGTGGCGGCCCTCGCGCAAGGCCGCCAGGCTGGCCTGCTCCTGGGCCAGCCGTGCCTCCAGGCGCCGGATCTCTTCGGTCCGGTCGCGAATGAGCGGCTGCTCGTCGCCGAGGTGGCTCGGCCCGGGGCTGGTCCCCAGGTTGGACCAGTGCGAGCGATCGGCCTGCCAGGCCTCCTGGTGGGTGAGAATCTGCCCGGCCTCCTCGCCGAAGGGCCGGAACTGGGTCTGCACCGCGGAGGTGGCCCCATCGAAGGTCAGCGCCCGCGGGGACCCCGGGGCCAGGATGGTCATGGTCTCCTCGCCTTGGCGAGTCCTGTGCGAGGCATGGTGCCCGAGCATGTGGTCACGCAGGCTGATGTTGATGTCGCCGCCGGCATGGTGCTGCTGGTGCTGGTGCTGATGCTGCTGCTGCTGGTGGTGGTGGTGGTGGTGCTGGCGACCATGCTGCTGCGACTGGTGGGCGATCCGGCCGCCGGGAGAGCGCGGCGCGTTGGAGGCCGCCCGCTGGCGCGGCGAGCCGGGCTGGCGCGGGGAGGCCTGCTGGCGACCGCGGCCGCCGGGGCTGCGCGGGGCACCGGCGCCCTGGCGGTGCTGCTGCTGCTGCTGCTGCTGCTGGCGTGGCGACCCGGGGCCGCCCTGGTTGGCGGACTTCGACGGGATGGTGGCCTGCTGCTGCTGCTGCTGCTGCTGCTGCTGCTGGAGACCCTTCGGGTGGAAGGCCGGCGCGTCGACATTCACCTGGATCTTGAGGTCCTGCTGCTTGCGGGCGCCCGAGCCGGAGGCAGGGCCTGCGGCGCGCGCGCGCGGCGACCCCGGCGGCGACCGGACCTCCAGCTTCCGGCCATCGGGCGACCGGACCGTGGTGACCACAGGCTGCCCGGGGTCGGCCTTCTTGCCGCCAGCACGGGGACTAGCCGGGGCGGCGTCGGACTTCTTGGCGCCGGCGCCGGTCGACTCGGCCGACGCCGATGCCCGGGGGCCGGACTTCGGCGACAGCGGGGCCGAGCGCGGGGAGCTCGGCCCGGTGCCAGCCTGCTGGCGGCGGTCGCCCGATTGGTCGTTCACCACCTCGGTCCAGCGCTTGGGCTGGGACTGGTGCTGCTGCTGCTGCTGCGAGGCGCCCGCCGATGCGGACTCCTTCTGGGCAAGGCGCGCGGCCGAGGCCTGCATGGCCGGCGACAGGGGAGGAGCCGGCGGAATGGCGGAGGTGCTGGCCGGGGCCGCACCGCCGTGCTTCTCGGCCGAGGGAGGCGTCATGGCAGGCTGCACGTAAACAAAGGCGCGGTGGCGGGGGGGGGGGGGGGGGGGCCGATGGCACAACAAACATAAAAAGCCCGACTGTCGGGCGGCGGAGTCTCGGGGGGGGCGGGGCCGGGGAAGGGCAAAGGGGAGGCGAGCGCGGGGGAGAGGCACGCAAAGGGGCGAGGCGATGGGGCTGCAAAAAAGAGCGCTGGCTGTGAGGTGGGGGGCGGGGAAGGAAAAAAGTGTGACGACAAGCGACAGTCAATGTCCAGGCCATTGCTGTCGCAGGTTCACCCTGCCCGGGGGTCCCCACCGCAAGATAAACCTGCATTCGGCTTCGGTGCCCAACTGACTCCTCTCGCCTGCCCAGTCCCCCTCCCCCCCCC